CCTCCGTCGTCGTCGTCGGTCGCGTCGTCGTCGTGTGTGTGTGTGTGTGTGTGTGTGTGTGTGTGTGTGTGTGTGTGTGTGTGTGTGTGTGTGTGTGTGTGTGTGTGTGTGTGTGTGTGTGTGTGTGTGTGTGTGTTGGTGCACCTGGGAGCTGATGATTCTCTGGGAGGATCTCTCTATGTTAGCAGGCAGACCAAAGAATGCAGGTCTGTCATCTTCTGGGAGATTCTCTATTACGCTGCGGTAGTCCTGGGAATAAACAAAGATTAATCTTCTACAGGTCACACAGAGATGCACTTACATGCCCCCTTTTTTGTTTTATTACAGCTCAAAGACACCAGATAATATGTCAGCATCTACTACTGTAGCAACATGCGCTTTTAAGTTGAAACAAGTTGAACTCGTAGCACACTAATATTATTAACAGTTAGATTTCAAAGTACTTAAAATACTTAAAATGAACTCTGACTTACTAGTGACTGTCACATTGATTTTAAAATATAATTTAAAATATAGATTTTCACATTGACTTACCAAATCTAATTCATAGTTTAGTGTATAGATGTCCCCTTTTAATTTTGTTTTTCTTTTGCGTATACTTAGCATCTAGCATCAATATAATGGAAATGTAACATAAAGCAATGGAATAACAAACTAACTTAAAATGAAGCAAACACAACATCAACTAATACACATTCAATACAAAACGACCTATTGTAAATCTAGTAAGCGAAAAGATAAGGTGCATTTAATTATTATAATTTTCTTTTTAATGTGTTTGCTTCCCTGAGTGCTTAATGTAGAAAAACAATATATATATGCTTGTTTTTTCTCTGTAGCTGTAATAAATGTCTTGTAGCTGTACTATATAATCCTGCATCTGTTCTTGCCAACCACATTGTGTCACTGTGTCATCCTCAAAACCTACCAAAACTGAGCAAGAGTTCGGGAGGCTGATCTGAGGTGGAAAGAAGCGAGTTCCTCCTCTGCTCTTTCTCTGACCGGCTGAGAGGGAGGACGAAAAGAGTCGTGCAGAGAAGAACTGCTCCAGGTAGGAGCGTAAGATGCGGAGGTCAGACGGGTTGTCGATCCGTCCTCCATATATGGCGCTCTCCAACAGGCCATGGACAAACTCCCACTGGAAAGGTTTGCCACCTTAGAAATACAAAGACACACAGACACAAAGAGAGCTATAACCCTGTGTAATGAGGGTACACAGGACAAAAGAACAATAACGCTGTGCTAAAATACACACACACACACACACACACACACACACACACACACACACACACACACACACACACACACACACACACACACACACAGAGCCAAGGAGATACAATGAAGGTCTCACATATAAACACAACATTAAAATGCAAATGCTGCATTGTCCAGGTCATGCTTTATCTGGGGGAGTTTGAATTAAACGGGTAATTGATCAAAGCAACCACAGGTTCCAGTTCTCATTACCATAGGTGCTGCAGAGCAAATCAACATAGCAGAGCTCTCCACTGCATTGTAATGTGTGTTAGAAGCGCCCCTACCATCAAAAAGCCTGTCGATGATCTCAAAGCCAGCACGGAGGTCCGACATAGAAAACTCATAGAACTTAGTCCAACCCTGGAAAAAGACACAAAGGAGGGAAAATAAGCTTTTCAATGTATGGTACTGACTGTAGGGTCACAATACATCAAGTACTACTGAGTTATTTGAAGTCAAGATAACACGACAGCCGTATGTTTCTAAGACACATCTATTGATAATCATTCGAGACTGGGTTGTAGGTCAATATATTTTCAGAACAAATATTGTTGAGCTATACTTGAGACTCTTGAAACATCCTGAATACATCCACAAGATTGTTAAACATTTTACACAATCACACTCATTGATACATTTAAAAAAAAACTGGCACAACCCCAAATATAAACTGCCTTAACAGCCAGTAGCTGTTGAGTTATGGTTAGTAATGTTTAACACTATTCACTTTTTTTGAGTTTTCCAGTCACAAGAAAAGAAAACGTCCTTTACATTTCAGAGGGAAAATCACCAAAGCTTTTGCACATACAAAAACTTGCTACCCTGTGACTTGGATCACAGATTGAAGACATAAGAACTGAGGCTTCAGGGATGAAAACAACAAGCCCGATGCAATCAGACATGTATGTATGCACAAAACAACACACCCACAGCGTGAAACATTGACCAGTACACAAACCATACAGAAGTGTGAAGGCGTTCAGTTTGTTGCTCTTCACTGCTATTCAATCAGCAGTTGTAATCTACCGGCTGATGGTGTAGGTGGATGAGGTGAGGGGTGGAGGAAAACTGTGTAGGCATGTTAAGTAATTCTTTGAATGATTAAGTGTGTGTTGTTTGTTCAGTCATGTTGTGCTCGAGTGTGTATTCACAGACAGTGGAGAATGGTTTTATATTTGATAAATGTGCTTACATATGTATAAGTGAGATTGTGCTCATGCATGTATGCATATGTTTTTACTAGGGCCGGGACGCGATTAAAAAAATTAATCTAATTAATTACAGGCTTTGTAATTAATTAATCGCAATTAATCGCATTTTTAATCGCATATAAATATTTGACCTGAGAACAGTGAGAAGCAATTTTTTTCACATGGATTTTAGTATACCATTGAATAATGACTGAATACATAAGCTTAAGCAACAAAACATTGTTTATTTTTTTCAAGGCTATACTTAACAAAGACCAACAGAAAAGTGAAAGTTTTGCCATAAAGTGTAGCAATAGCATATTTAGGAATACAGTACATNCTTAACGTACTAGTACATACATATACGTAGTACACACACACACACACACACACACACACACACACACACACACACACACACACACACACACACACACACCTGTCTGCCGCAACATTCACATGTTCACACAATTTACCATTTGAGTTGGAAAAGTACATCATTGGGTTTCAGGGCAGCCAGTTTGTTTATCAAGGCTGAACACAATCTCACGCTGAAACATGTCTCTGTCTTTCTGTTTTCATCTCTCTCTTTTTCACTTTCCTCCCTTTGCCTCTTAACATCTTTTCCCCCTGTCTTTTTAAATGAAGTGGTGCCTGCACACGCTAGTGAAAACGATGAAAGCAGGAAAATGAGTAAATGAGAAATGGATGGAGGACAAGCAGATGAAGCAAGGAGGGAGTAACTGGTGGTGGAGTGGACGAAAGGAGCTGTGACGGTTTGAATAATGAGGCGATCATGTTCTTGGAAGAGAAACAGCATTACCCTCTCAAATGAAAACACTTACCAGGGATTCAGTGATTGAGAAAGTAAAAATGGAAGAGAGAAGGCAACAGTAGGCAGGGAGGGAGGCCAGTAAGAAGAGGCTTCAAGTAGGCAAAGTAAAGTGAGATAATTTGAGGGAAGAGAAATGGAAGATACAAAGAGAGATACAAAGTCAAATCTTATAGGGCAAGCAATTGTTGTTTTTTCCCCCAAACAACTCCACAAGGGAAATGGCTAAGGGCGAGGATTGGGAGCAACAGCCTGGGGGCAATGGGAGAAACAGAGAGAGAAGAAACACGTGCAATGTTTCTTGATTCGTTACATTTCTTGTTTCAGTGTGCAAATGTTACGCTAATCTAATTAGAATAACATGTTCTCTGCCACAGATCTCCCTTGGGTTAACGATTATCTGGATTGTGTGTTGGAGAGGAGACCAAAAGAGATGCCTTTGTGCTTTAACTGAAGACATGTTGTGTCATTCGATTAGACAGACCACTTCAAGGCAACACTACAGTGCACACAAATGAGTCCCAGTGCATCCGGCCACTCATCCACATGCTCCCAAGTAAGTAAGTAAAAACATGACACAAACAACTGCAGCAAGTATCAAGAAATGACAGGAGCAACCACATCCGTTTCTGCCTGTGTTGAAATGTCTTTGCATCTTTATATTTGATTAGCCTGGACTCAATCTCCTTAATCACACGCAAACCAGCGTATTAAACAAATTAGACTCTAGAAGCTTTAATTAGTGGACTTAAGGCTTTATTGTGTTCCTTCCTAACCTTCATAACATATTGTGCATAGTAATAGCAGGATAATGCTCAAAACAAACAACTTTGTTTTCAAAGTGTTTCGAGCTTTTCTGGACAGCTACAGTCCAAGGCCGGGAGAAAATCCTGCTGTCATTGAGAGGCGAGCTGATAATCGCTTCAATATAAGGATAACAGAACACTGTCGGACTTTCCTGAAAGGCATTCACAGTGTTACACTCTGATGAACAGGGACAGAAATGTCCAATAATTGTCCTATTAACTTAACATGCTTCTATAAAAACTTGATACAGAGAATGATACAATTCATCTTGTAATCAAATTGTATTATTTGCAAGACCTGTCTTCTTTCTGAAGCAAGGTTCCCAATAGAGAAATAACTCATTGTTCAGCTTCATTTCCCTCAATGTTTTTTGATTTGCTATTAATTTTGTGCTGATTCATCTCTGCCTCAGGTTTCAGAAAATAAATAAACTAGTTTTCTCTGTGGGGATGCAAATGATATCATTCTTTATACCCACAAGATACAGGATTTCGTTTTTTTTAACATCTCAATTATAGAATAATAAGAAAACATGAGTTTTGGTTTTGGCTCCTCGACATTGCAGCTTTCTCAATAAGTTCAAATAAGAAGGACTGTTATATACTGTAACAACATCACAGGAACTCATTTTTGTTTGAAATCCTTGTGTATGTCATCTAAGTATTTCCCAAGCTTTTATATCATGACAGTGCAAACACTTTGATCAATAGGCAATGTGCCGTCTGAGTTGACCGGGCAAGAAAGGAAAAGTTATCCTTTTTTTTACAATTTATTTGGGTGTCTAGAATTACGATTATGAATACAAGATAAACGTGATTAAACCTTTATTGTGGCACATAACCTTACAGTATGATACTTTTATGATGTCTTTATTGCTGTATTATCTCCAGTCATGTCTCTTAAATAATCAGGATCTAAATATTGAACAAAATAATTGTGATTATAATTTTGGCAATAAACAGCCTTAGTTGACCATTATGTCAATCTGTATAGTTTTGGGTACTTTTCATTAACTGGCTACAAAATAAAAATACATTCATTTGTATATATGTGTGCTGTAAATATGTGTGCTGTAAATATGAACTGCATTTCCTGTGATTATGTTCCTGTAATAACCAGTCTTTTGCGGTTCGTGTGGGTGACGGCAATTACCTCTTTAGGTTTGAAATGGTAAATTGTCTGCATTTATATTGCTTCTTTGTAGCTTACCTGAAAAAGTGCTCTACAATTTACTTCTCACAAACCCATTCATACAGCAATGATGGTGGAGCTTCCTTGCAAGGCGCTGGCCTGTCCAACAGTTTATACAAGTCAAAACGTGTGATTTCAAAGGAAATTAAGACACATTATTATGCAGTAAGCATACATTTAGGTTGTCGGATGTGACAGCAGCTAATGCTGGTAGAATTCATAAAAAGCTTTAATCGAATGGCAGGAAGATTCAAGAAAAGGGACTGATTATGAAGGTCTGCCTACAACATGAGCTTTTACGATACTTTGAACTGTAACTTTAGGTATCATTTGAATATCAGTAATACAAAAATCCCTCCATAGATCAAATGCATAATTATTATTATTATGGCCACTCGAGTGTATGTTAGGGTGTTTGTTTATTTTACCTGTGGTATGTAGTTGCGTCTCTCTTGGCAGACAGCATGGAACCAAGCCAGACAGAACAGAGACTGAGCTCTGGCCAGGATGCCTCCTGCACACAAACAGTCATCAGCCTATCACACCCGAAATAACTACAATAGGTAATCACAATCAGTGTCAGTGTTTGATGGACTTTCATGGCAGAAATCTTTAATAATTTATCAAACACAAAACAACCGAGAGGACAGAGGACAATCAAGCATTCTGCTGTGGACTTGTTCTGAAGGCTGTGTTGGAGCCCCATATGCTGCTGTTCAATTTCTGTCCCAGAATGTGCAAACATGCTGGGATTTATCTGTTCACAGGATGAATTAGCATAACATATGCAAAGTAAATAAAAACAAACAAAAGTGAACTATTTCTTTACTTGGAATAACTACATAGCACACATTCGTAGAGCATAGGGCCAAATCATTAGTTGAAACTAGTTGTTTCATTCCTTAAAGCACACAGCAGAGGCATGTGTACACATTTATATAATAGCATTACTCAAAAGGCTTTGAATAACAGGACATTTGAAACAACTGACTTCAGAAAATGATTTAGGGGCAGAAGAGAAGAGCCAACCTTTACTGATCTGCTCCGGAGTCCAGGACTCATATGTTCTCAGCAGATTTTTCTTCAACCCGGGAGGAGCCTGGAAATGGCAAAGGAAAGGGAGGAACAGAGACGGGCAGGAAAGGAACCAGGTCAACAAGGGTAGAGGAAGGACGGGAAGAAGTAAAGGGTTTTATTATGATGGAATATCCCACAACTTTCAGATGTTTTATGCAAGAACCGATTCCAAGATCCAAACATAAACCTTCCATAGCACAGAAGCATGGCAAGGCAAAGGGGGACACGGAACATGTGTGACAGGCTTATATGCTGCATGATAAAATGATGGTGGAAAGAGACCACAAAAAAGGCTCTGCTGGGATTTGAACCGGGGATCTTCTGTTTACTAGGAGCTTTAAGACAAGATTAGATTGTCCATCCAACAAACGGGAGGGGATACTACCTGGACCAAGAAGCTATAACAGATCAAGATTCTGATTCTTCAGTGTGTCATTGACATTTTTATATGTGGAAAAAACAATATGTTTAAATTACATGTGAGCTTGTATTATTGTGAATAAATGGTAGTGTGTTATACTGACATGCCTAAAGCCTACGATTCCCAAATTATTCATCAAATATGTGCGACTGGCAAGACCAAAACGAAGATGTAAATGCAATTCAACGTGTCAGGTGATAATTCCAGCTCAAACTTACTTTGTAGGACCAGGAAACATTTGACATTTGCAACTACCTTTTGTTCAAGCAATTTGTAACCCATTTGTGTCTCTGTGAATAAAAACGGGAATCTAAGAATACATTGAAAGCATATTCTTACTTCAGTGTTGGATTCCCAGCAGCCTTTGCCACCCACAGTGTGTTCCTGTGTTATACTGTACTTTAGTTTATTCTCTACAGTTCATGACTCAGCCCATACTGTATCTCTGAACCGTTCACTGTACATGTGGTTCCTCTGGCAACATTATGCTCTTTTTAGAATAGAAACAATGAGCATACATTAACAGCTTTGCTGAACATTTGGCTCATCCATCTGTTGGCTCTGATAACATACACAGCCTAATGTATGTGCACTACATTTCACAAGAACAACTACTGCAACAAAAACATGAGACCAACTTACCAACTTCAGCAGATTGCGCGTTTTTGCAAGATGCTTACTTTTTTAGGTTTTACATTGTGTCAGTTGGAATTTGACTCTCTCTGCTAAACTGCAGCAGAAGAGATTTTCTACATGCATCCCTGATCAGATCATGCTTTTATTCACCCTTAATAAGGTAATAAGTTAACTTTTAGACACTTAAACAAAACAAACAATTAAATAACCCTTTTCTTCCATTTAAATGTTCTCATGGAGTTTGTTCTTTCAGGATCTTTGTATCTTCACTGCCAATTCAGACTTTCAATATCTGCTCTTTGAGATGCTGGTTTAGTCTGTAAGCCAAGACTAATCTGCAAAGTGGAATTGAGTTTGGAGTAAGGTATTAAGGTTTTTGATGGAGAAGTTGTAGTCACTGTGTTAGAACAGTTTTCACTTTGTTTATATCAGCTCTGTACAATCCAGATACAATGACACACAAAAACATCCATATTATCAGTTTATGTACAGTGCATCGTTGGTTTAGAAAAAATACACTTTCTTGTCCTATAGTTGGGAAGTGATAAATGACAGCGACTTTGGGAATGTGTTCAGGTCAGAATTTAACAAAATGTCAATAAGTATGCCCATGAAAGAGTGAGATGAGAGAAAAAAGGAAAATCAGACAGATAGAGAGGAGGGAGGGAGGGAGGGGCTGGGGCGTTTGTGCAGCATGCTTGGCTGCCGAAGCAGCTAACCCCTTGAGCATGACTCCCATCAGACTTAGCACTAAAACACGCATCACTACCACACAAGCTGCAGGCCTCTGCTCCTTGCAAATGTACAGTATATACGGCTGCATCGCGTCTGTAGCATGACCTTTCCACACATCCTACACTCTTCTTAGTATGCATTAGCCTGTTAACTTTACACACCAGGGCTCTGACAAATGTGACTGCCTTCTGTAGAGATTCAGAGACACACAGCCTATTTGGGAAAATGATACTGTATGTGAATAAAACATTGTAGTGAGCATTAGTGCTAAGTGTTCCTGCAAACATGTGGGGGCATGTTTGTGTTAAGACCAGTTAGGTCAATGCTAAATAACGCTAAACTTCATCATACGATATTGTAGTATTCCGGCATTTGTTTCTATGCCTGAATATATGTGTGTGTGTGTGTGTGTGTTTACCTCATAAGTGATTTTGAGGCTGGACTGCAGCAGTATGGGAGGAAATCGGGGGTGAACTTCAGCTGTCAGCCAGAGACGGAAGCCTGCTTTGGGATGTAGCACATTTAGCTCCTGTGGAGGAAGGACAGCAGACAAATTAGACATTAAGAGATCACCACAGGAGAGCAGACGACCTGTGCAGAACTATCTGGCAGTAGAAACAATTCTGAGCTAAGTTCTCCTTTTATACACTCATGCCCAGCCTCACACACATATGCAAACACACACGCATGTACTATTTCTCACAACATACAACGCATATATTTATAAATACAATTACACAACACTTGAGCCTTTGAATGCACACATTTTCCATACACTTTACCACACAGGCTCCTAACTCAAAATAATAGTTTGGTTGCCATTCAACCTTCATTAACCCCTCCCCCCCTCCCCATGTTGCTGTCTCCTCATCTCACTCTCCAGCTCTCTCTCCTCACTTCTCTTCTTACATTCCTTCTTTCTCTCTTTCCTTCTTTCTCAAAGACTTGTGGTTAAAAATAGCATTCTGGCACCTTAGGGTCTTGTGTCATCTGATTGGGTTCTCACACTCTCACACACACACACACACACACACACACACACCTCAGCAGAGGGGAGTTGGGAGGGTTACTTTACAATGTTAACTGCAAAAAATGTAATCAGTAACTTCCTCTGTCCCACATGAACAGAGCAGAATGCTTTATTGCCACCACACAGGCACTATGAGATGGGTAGAGCTACTCATCAAAAATACAAAAAACAAACAAGAGATGTACAACATTCAGGAGAAGACAA